ATGGGGTCAGAAAAGTAAATATCAGGAAGGCAGCTGAGTAGCAGATCGGGGGTGCAGGAAGACTCCAGATAGAAAGAAAATTAAAATCTCTAGAAGTAATGGCTCAAAAAAAAAATTAGAACTAAAAATAATACCTGATAAATGTAACCTTTTGGGAAATTATATAGAGATAAATGGAAAGGGTAGGAATTATCAAGAAGTACAAATAAAATTAAGCAATTTAAATAATAAAATGCAATTATTTCATGAAAAATAAAAAGTGAAAAAGGAGCAATCAAAATATGCTGCAGTGCTCAGTTGTGGATAATATTTGCATTGGCAAAATCATGTAAACATTGCGTTTGACTTAATCCCCATTTGTAATATAACTCCATCAGGAGGATAGGGTAAGAGAATGGCGGTGTAACAACTAAACTTTCATCTGTACAGAGAAAATCAATTGACAAGGTTTAAAATTGATGAATTAAAGATAGCAATATTACAAAAACTAGAAATAGTGAAACGTGCTATTGCCAGAAGAAACAGTTAAATGGGCAAAAAAGAATTGCCCCTAGTGAGGGGACCTGGGGTGAGTGAGAAGAGAAGAAAGATGGGCTACTGACTCTTTCTGTTAGAAGTTTTTTAGTTCTTTTAGACCTTTTTAAGAACTTTAATAAAAAATATATTTTTTATAGTCCTTTGGGTAAAAAATTGTTTTAATATCACTAAAATAAAAAATTATGAGTGTCAAAGGAACCTGAAAAATATGCTTGCCTTAAATAGAAAAAGTTCTCATTAAACTGATTTTTAACAGTCTTTATCAGATATCAAACCAGCAATGATATTACTTAGACAAAACCAGTGTTAGTTATTTCTTTTAATTCAGTAACTACTGTTGGAAAACTTCAAATTTTAAAATCAAAAGGCATGATAAAGAGCAGATAGAAAATTGCTGATTTCAGTTTTTTTTCTTTCTTTTTATTCCCAGATGACTTGGACTGACAATGGAAGGGATCTACTTGCACGGGAAATGGGTCAAGCATCCAGGCCCCCAAATAGTCTCCTGAACAGTGTGTGAGTGAATACTTGTCTAATATCTTAATTAAAAGGGCCCTGAAGAGGTTCTTGCCAGGACAAAGGGAATCTGCTTTAACGCTGAACAGATGTTTCCTTCTCTAGAGCCTGAAATCCATGAGCAACTAACTCATAAATGGCACATTCTAGGCTTCCTGTTAAACCTGGGTCTAACTGTGATAGCAGCTCTTTTCCTACAAGTAGGAGCCAGCAAGCCCTGGAAGGGACTACCACCCAACAATACTAGGTCCAAGTGGTGACAATCATCTTTATAAATAATCACACTGAGTCTGGCGTCTTTGGCAGAGGGGAGCCCTGGGACT